TATATGGACAGCAAAGAGAAAATGTAATTGCACTGGTGTTCTTGAAATTACACTGTTTGTCTTTAGGTTTAATGGACATCAAAGGCCTGAATTTCATTATAAATCAGAGACATTTTTAACTATTTATACTTAGAGCTGACTCAGTAAATGTATTTTTAAAATTTTTTTTGTGTTCACTGTGCCTGGAAAAAAAAATAGTTGTACATAGGACTATTCTTTATTATAATCTCTTCTTATTTAATGAAAGGCAATTTGGCCGGATTAACTGCTAAATTGAGCTTGGCCCAAATCAAGCTCAGCTGATTCATTTTAATGGTTATTGACTGTTGACATTTTTAGCCATATTAAACCAGACTAGTAAGCATTATTGATACAGAAGTCTTTTGATAACAGTTCTAGGCCTGATAACTAAAAATATTCAATGTCGAATCCCACCCTTTACCCACAAAAGGAAAAATTATAGTGTGTACGTCCACACATAACATTCCCTCTTCACTGAAATCCTGTAATTTGTTGTATATGATGACAGCATAAGAATAGATACGGACGTGGTCTAGGCTATGATGACGTTTTAGCAATAAAATATATTAGTGTGGGCTGTACCCTATTTAAGTCAAATTTAAAAGAAAATGTCCCTGCCCTACCTGATAAGCAATAAGTGTTGACTCTATATTTTAAAATTCAGATGCATAGCATTTCATCTCTTATAGCCAAGGCCTTCTTCAGCTGTAAAACATGTGTTCTTTTGGGAGGAGATTTCCAAATCGTTGTCACATATACCTGGAAAGTGCCAGCGCTTCATTGGCTGGGTGGCCGGCTGTGACGGTCACGTGCTCTGTGATGGTCACGTGCTCTCACTTCCCTAACCTCTCATTTTTATTGCTGGCAGGAATGTGGCTGAGCTGTAGCCACAAAGACATCTGTTAGCAATCTGCAGCCTCTGAGCGGCCCCCAGTTTTGTAGGCGTTTCATCTGAAACTCGGGTTCACTCCTGCCTTTCTAACAACTTTTTTTTCTAAAAAATATTTTCTGCCTGTTGCGGAGATCCACATTCTGATGCCCACACCTCGGGTCCACACAGCCGGCTCCAAATCCAGGCCCAGCTACTCACAGCTGCGTGACCTTAGGGACATGAGCTTTCTGGTTTCTGATTTATAAAATGAACTTAATAAGGCCGTCGTGACGTGTACCTGGTACGTGTAATGTCCTGGAACAGAGAAGTAGGCTGGGGCACCCCCACCCCACCCCCAGTTGTGCTGCTGTTTATTGGATCTATTTCGGGCCCTGCTGTTTGCAGAGATTCATTCAGGACAGATTTGGAAATTAGGGCTGGGAGTCCTACTTGTTTCTTTTTCCTGTTGCCAGGAAAAAAAAAAAAAAAAAAAGGATAAGCCCGTTTTAATTTTTATGACTTGTGCAGTTTCCTCTCCACTCAAATATCTGCACAGGCGTACACTGGAAAGACAGCCGCAGGCTGGGCACCGGCTCAGGGAACTTGCAAGACTTGCTTAATGTCTCTGAGCCTTTTTTGAGTTTGTTCATATGTAAACCATAAAGATTAGCATCTACTCTGCGGGATCATTTCAACATGATAAATATACACAAGTGGCTGTGATTTTTACCCTCATGTTGCTTAATCCCCCAGGGATATCAACAACGCCTCAGAGAATGTCCCCACCGGAGAGGGACAGGCTGAGTTTGTGAACCTGCCATGACTCAGCAACGCGGAGAAACAGCATTCCATGGGCAGGTGAGAGTTTACGGGAACAAATATTTCCACAGCATCGCAAGATCCACTGAGTTTTTAAAAAATCGACTCTATGGGTAGGCAGGAAATGTATTTATTTTTAATTGTGTGTGTATGTGTGTGTGTGTGTGTGTGTGTGTGTGTGGTACTGGGGACTGAACTCAAAGCCTTCACACTGAGTTATAGCCCCAGACTTTTTATTTATTTATTTGGTACCAGGGATTGAACTCAGGATCTTCCACTTGCAAGACAGGAGCAGTGCCACTGAGTTACATCCCGGGACCTGTTTTTTATTTTAAGGTCTTACTGAGTTGCTAAATTGCCCAGGCTCACTCAGGAGACATTGGGGAAGGCTCCTTTTCTGGACAGTTCCAGATCCGGCCTTGACTTTGTCTCCCCCGACCCTGCCCACTTGGGAGAGCGCTGGGATCAGAGGAGGTTTCCCACCTGGGCCAGGCTCCTCCAGAAGAGCGTTTGCCACTCTTCCCGTCACCCCAGGAAAACCAGTTCTGAGTCCATGCACTGTCCGCTTAGTGTCCAGCCAGGAAACACGCCACGTCGGTTACGCTTATTTCTGTCATCACTTTCTTCCCACCCTCTACGCTTCCCTCGCTATCCTTGTCCTCTTTGTTTCATTTTTATTTCCTCTTCTCCTGACCAAACCTCCCAACCCTTCAGAGACCCCTGGCTACAGAGACAGCTGCCTGACAAGACGCTTGCAAACCTCACCCGGGACAGGCTGGCTCCTCTCATGGTTTCTTCACAAGCACCAGCACATGGAGGCAAATGCCTGTAATCCCAGCACTCAGGAGGCTGAGGCAGGAGGATCACTGTGTGTTCTAGGGCAGGCTGGGTGATACTGTAAGAGCCTGTCTCAAAACCAAAACCAAAAAAAACACACAAACAAAGGGCGAGGGATTTAGCTCAGTGGTTCCACAGCCTTCTTAGCAAGCTCAAGGTCCGGAGTTCAATCCCCGGGACCCAAACAACAAACAAAAACGACAATAAGAAACAACAACAGCAACAAAAACCCCAGTGCTGTCAGTCAGCCCCCTCCCAGAGGGACACTTTAGGTTTTTCTCTTCCTTCTTGTGCATACCATCACGTATCTAAACAGAGCACTTCCTGTGCACTTCTGATCCTAACAGCTGCTCATTTAACTGTCACACTGCAGCTATTCTCTCCTCTTCCCCAGGGCTAGTCGGCCGTCCACCACGGTGAGGGATACTTGAGATGGCCAACTTAGAAGGAGAAAAGTCTGACAGGCAAGCTGACCGCAGGCCAGGGCGCAGAGAGAGGGACCTGGAGGGCTGGGGCCCTGCCCCTTGGAGGTCACACCCCGAGGCCCAGCCCTCCCGTTAGGCCCCTCCTCTTAAAGGAGCCCCACATCTAAGTAGTGCCTTGAGGTAGCAGGTGTGGACACACAGGCCTTTGGGGGGTGTTTAGGGGCAGGTCCTTGCAGTCACACCCTGAGAGAGGTCTCTGGTACCAGGTAGTGTCTGCACCACAGGGGCCTTTTCAGTACAGCTCACTGTAGCCAGATGTGCTACAATCACGTTTCTGTTTTGTTGGTTTCTTTTTTTTTTTGGTACCAGGGATCGAACTCGGGACCTTCTGCTTGTGAGGCAGGTGCGGCACCACTCAGCTAAATTCTCATACCCATCACATTTCTTTGCTTACACAACTCTTCCATTTTTCCTGGGGTGAAACATCGCTTTTTTTGCCCTCTTTTTTGCTTTTCAATAAACATAATGTCCAGGAAGCCTGGTCCCCTGGTGGCTGTGCTGAGCTGGTGGGCCAGGCCTGGTACAGGTGAGGAGGCCCCGCTCCGTCCCGTGGAGGGGTGGATTCTGGTGCCCCGACCCCGTGATTCAAATTGGAGGGAGGATTCCTCCCCGGAGGCTGCTGTGAAAGAGCCGGCCTGAACCTCCACACACCGCCCAGAGCAAGCGGTTCCCCCAGAGGCTGGATACAGGCCCTGCCTCCTCCCGGACTTCAGCCTCCAGAAGTGTGAGCAAAGTCAGTCTTTCCTGCTCCGAGTGTCCAGCCTCCGGGGCTTGGTTACAGCAACACAAAATAGCCTAAGGCAAGCTTCATCTAAGATGTCACAGACATTTCAGTGTCATTTTCCAAATGGTCAGACAAATTTGCTAATCTCTTTACCCCGTTCCTCCCCCTCCTTAGCCCTGTGCAGTAGAAAATCTCCCTCACAAGCCAGGTGTGGCGGTGTGCACCTGTAACCCCAAGACGGTGGGAGGCTGAGATGGAACGTTGCGCGTTCAAGTCCAGCCTGGGCAACTTAGTATCTTAGTATGACCCTTTCTCAAAATTAAAACAAACAAATTTTAAAGGGCTGGGGATATAGCTCGGTGCAAAAGCCTTGGGTTTAATCACCAACGCCACCCATGTTTTAAACAATCTCCTTCCCAGAGCGCCGCAGCCTCCTCTCTTCCTGCCTTTCACCCTCCACTCTGTCCTTCTTCTCTCCTTTTCTTTTCTTCCTTCCCTGCTGACGCCCCCTGCTCACTGCCTCCTTCCCTTCTTTCTCCTTCCTTATTTCCTCATGTGTCCGATGAAGCTATTTCTGGGTGCAAGAGACAGAAAACCCAGTTTCCCTGTCTGAAGCAATCGGGGAATCCATTATTCCCCAACATGAGCCCCAGGGCACGGCTCTGGGTGGGTCTGTTCAGTGCCCACCTGGCTGTGGGGGTCCCTCTCCCTTTTGGGGTAGGTGCTTAGGGTGGAACGCAGGCCCTCTGCACTGAGCTGCACTCCCGGAAGTTTTGAAGCTGCTCTTACCCTCCCAGAGGACTGGGTCACCCACCACCACCCTTCGTTCTTGCGGCTTCAGTGTGACGTCCCCCTTGAGTTCCCCAGATCAAGGCTGAGGTCCAAATCCCACATCCAGCTACGGCAACACTGGTGAAAGATAAATGATTCTGTTCCTTCACTAGTGACTCATTTTGCAGACTTAGAACTGAATTCCGGCCCCCAGCTGCCCTCCCTTTGTAGCACAGGTGGCTGGAGTGGCCATCCTGAGACAAGTCACTGCCCCGGGGAAGGAGTCTGTGGCGCTGTTCTAATTCCTGAGCTTTCCTGAGAGTCTGGAGATGCGTGGACGAAATGGGGGTGGGCAGGGTGGCTACTTCCATCTGCCTCAGAGACCTCCCTGTCCTTGTCACCCTCTCCGGGGATTTTACCTGTCCTTCCCTCTCTGCTACTCCGCAGCTCTCCCAGGAGCTGCTGAAACATGGGCCCATGGCTGGGATTGCTAACTTCGACACAACTTCACAGGACCAGCTCTCAACACCTTAGTGTGGAGGTCAGCACCAGCTTGCTGTCTTTTATTCAGACAGGTCTTCCTAAGATTCCCAGGCTGGCCTTCAACTTGTCTGTGATCCTCCTGTCTCAGCCTCCCAAGTGCTGGGACTGCAGGTGTGCACCCCCGTGGCCGGCCTCACAGCACTCTGCAATCCCAGCACACAGTAAGTCTCAGCTGGCCTGAACGTGTGGTGATGTCCTGTCTCAACAGCAGCACCCCAAAGAGACCCTGACTCAAAAAGAAAAAAGAAAAAAAAAAAAAAGGAATGGTGCTACAGCTCAGTGCAAAGGTCCCGGGCTCAATCCCCAGCACCCAAACAAACAAAGAGAAAATAAAAACAAGCCAAGACAAAAACCAGAATGATTGTCAGCACGGGCCAAGGATGCCAGTGTGCCCATCGATCCGTCTGCCCCTGGGAGCCCCTCCCTGGTCAGCCAGTGGCTGAAGTCGGTTCCACATACGTGTCCTTGCCCTGACTGTGTCCAGGTGAGGACAGATGGTGCCGGGGCTCGCATCTGTCAACCCGGAGACTTTTCCACCTTTGGCTGCAAAACCGGTAGGCAAGAGCCACACCTCTGCTGTGCTCGGTGACAGCGCAGACCTCTTTCCAAAATGGGATTTGCCTCCTGCCCGGCCAGGTATTCGGTGAGACTCTCACTCCAGTAGCCTGGCCCAGAGTCTGAAAATCGATCTTCTAGGACCATTTCATGCTTTGCTTTTGCCTTTTATATATATTTTTAAGCTTCTGTGTGTCTCTTTGACTGCAAGCAGGGGCTGCTGTCACCTGCCAGCCTGGGCAGGGAGGCCGAGGCAGGCCCAAGCTCGCCCCTGCAGCCCTTCCAGCCCGGGCCACACCCTCTGTCCTCTAATCCCGGGGCAGCTGGCAGCGCCGAGGAGGCTGGCGTCAGCCCTTCGTAACACAAGCCTGAAAATCTTCCCCAGGCTGTGCTTCCTCCTCTTTCATTTTAATGTTTGTTTTTATGAGTACCTGTTTGCCGTACGCAGTGACTACATTCACCCCACTCACCCTGGGCAGTGGCTGCACCCGCCTAACGCATCCCAAGTCTTTTCACGTCCCCTCCTCTCCCTCTCCAGCCTCTTTCCATCTCTTGGCCCCCTTCCCGTTTGCAAAAGATCTATCTCTCCGTTTCCTGCTATCTTTTATTTTACTCTTTCAATGATTTGTACTTCCGGTTTCTCATATGAGCGAAACCGTGCCGTATCCACGTAACTGTGCCCAAGTGTCTGGTTTATTTCACTTCGCGTCGTCTCACGGTGCAGCCAGCGCCTTGTTTCTGTCTATTCACCTGCTTCTCTGATCTCTGAAAATCCCCGTGGACGCGCATCCTTCCCTTGCCCCTCCCTGCCTGAACACAGTGAGCCTTTGCCTGTGTGCTACGTGACAGCAGCCTGCACCCAGAGAAGAGAGATGCACAGAATAATTTAAAAACCCGAGAAGCCAACAACCGAAAACAGGCCTGGGTGCCGGGCGTCAGATCCTCCACACTGGCCCACACCCAGGCCCAAAGGAAGGCTGGAGCTCGGGGTTCTGGGGGTGCCTGGGAGGCCAGAGGTCACGTGCTACAGGGACTGGGGGAGCCAGGCCAGGGGCGAGTCCAGCTCAGGCAACATCTGAAGGTGGTGGCTGTGGAGCTGCTCCTGCGTGGAAGGACACAGGGCTCGGGGCAGGGCAGAGAGGCCGGAGGGCTCGCAGCAGCTCCTGGCACCAAACCCCAGTGCAACAAGGTGTCCCTGAAAAGGGGACAGATCTCCGAAATACTGGCTGGGTGAGTGTGTGCTGGGCACGTGGCAGGCAGGACTTCGAAGGCGCTGCTGAAAACCTCTGCTGTCACCACTCCCCCGGGAAGCAGGGCTCTGCCATCCACTTCTCCGCGGCTCCCCGCCCGAGCTCACAGCTGTGGCTGCTGGGAGAGCAGCGGAAAGTCTCTCAGGCCCTGTAACAGGGGCACGAGCACGCTCGGTCACCCCGATGTGCCACGGTGCTCAAACGCTTGAACCATTTATTGGTGCGAAAAGCCAACGAAACTCAGAGCCGAAACACACGTTACCTGGAAGACATCACAGGCTGTCTGCCACAGTTCGGATCTCCGCTCTCCCTCAGTACCCACGTGTTAAAGGCTTGCGGCCAGGTGGTGCTATTCAGGGGTGGTAGAGCCTTTAAGAGGTGCGACCTCACTGTGCGGCCACTGTGACCTGGCAGAGGGTTGTGGGACGCTGGCCCATCCTCTCTACTCCCGGGCTCCTGTGAGGTGAGGCAGTTTTTCTCTACCACGTGCCCCACCATGATGCTTCTCGCCCCAGGGCCAATCCATTATGGACTGGGCCCTCCACAGCTGTAAGCCAAAAGAACCCTTGCTCTTTATAAACTGATTATTTCAGGTATTTTGTTACAGGTGTGGAAAGCTGATTAACAGGATGCCATAATCATCCATTAGAGATAACTGGAAATTTAGCTGTCCAAGCGGGCAGCCTGTCAGAGGCGGGCCTGATGAGTCGGGGCCAGGACACCCCCCTTTATTAGGAAGGTCCCAGGGATATCTAAGGCTGTCGCAGGCAGTGGAGCAGTGGAGGGCCTGTGCTTCTTGAGCGGCTTCATGCGGGGCATGGTGTTGGCACAGAAACACCCATCCTGTGAGCAGACCCAGGGCCAGGGCTCACCTCGGGTTCCCAGGCCAGAATCCAAGACCTATGTCAGTTCCACTTGCTAGGTAAGGACCACAAAATCACCCCCAATAGTTTACATTTAATTTTTTTCAGAGTCATTTGTTGCTTATGGTTTTTGAATCAATAAATGTGATTGATTTGTAGCACACTTTGTTAACGTATGCCATCTCAGGTTTTAAAATCAATGTGATATTTCAGAAAATAATTCCAGAGCTTTCTCTCTTTTTCAATCTTTTGGAACGATTTACATGGAATTAAACACTAACCTCTCTCTTAATCTTCCCGAGACTAACCTCTCTCTTAATCTTCCCGAGACTTTCCCTGTGAAATCCTGTGGAAAAATCTGGAAGAACTCCAACCTCTCTCTCACGAAAATTAGTCTTCTGATTTTCTTTCCTTTCTGGGAGTTAGTTTTGTCAAATTATATTTTCCAAGAAAATTATGTTTCACCCAAATTTTCAAATTTATTTTCATAAATTTAAGCAAAGTGTTCACTGATTGTTTTAATTTAATAGAGATACTTTTCATTTAATGACCTTTCTGATCCTTCAGACTTATAACCTGCTGCTGGGATTTATGACCTGTCCTTTTTTTTTACAGTTCTATATATCTTGTTTATAAAGCCTCAATGCCCTTTTTTGTATAATACACTTTTATACAGTACTGTTTTGTTTTGGTTTTTTTTTTTTTTTTTTTTTTTGAGACAGGGTCTTACTAGGTAGCTCAGACTGGTCTTGAATTCACTGTGTGGTCCAGGCTGGCCTTGAATTTCAGGCAATCCTCCTGCCTCAGCCTTCCAAGTACTAGGATTACAGATATGCTCCACCACGCCCAACAGAACTGTGATCTTTGTTGGCTGTACTGTGTAGTACAGTACTGTAGTTTTATGTTATATTTTACATTATAGCAGTGTATGCAAGAGTTACGTAAATAAAAGCCAAGTCATCAAGTTGGGGTTTCCTCTGACCATTTCTTTGTTCTAAATATTGTAATGTGCATAGTATATACAGTTCCTCATTTAGGGATCTGTTCAGCTAACGACCTCACTGCAGGAATGGAGCTTAGTCATCAAAGGAGGGGTATAGTTTTGTGGTTATTTTCCTGTTACTGTTTCTCATTTTGTATATTTGCATTTTCTTGTTTCATTTATTGTTAGATTAGTACTTTTCTTTGTCTTTTCAAAGGGCCACCTTATTTACTTCTCTTTTCTATTTTATTAATGAATAAATTAGAAAACTCTGTTTTGCTTTTTACTAATTCATTTTTTCTATTTTCCTGCAGTTTATTTTACTGTTTTTTGTTTTTTGTTTTTTTTTTGGTACTCGGAATTGAACTTGGGACCTTGCGCTTTCGAGGCAGGCGACAGAATCACTGAGCTGAATCCCTGGCCCTTTACTGTTCTTTTTTAAACTAGATGTTTGACTTATCTTTCTTGTCTATTAAACGTTTAGACCTATGAATTTTTATCTTTATGACTTCAATACTATCTCATAGATTCTAATAAGTAGGATTTTTTTAAAGATAAGGTCTTTCTAAGTCAATAAATTGCCCAAACTAGACTTAAACTTGTGATTCTCCTGCCGCTGCCGCCTTCCAGATTGCTGAGATTATAGGTGTGCATGACCATATCAACCCTGAATATTCCATTTTTATATATTCTTGAAAATAAGAGTATGCCCTATATAGCTGATACACAATCTACTATCTCGTATATACATGTATATATCAGGGCTATTGTGTCTAATATAGATTATATGAATACTGTATTATTGCTTTTATTTTTATCTTCTTCATTTGTCATAGACCATAGAGACAGGAATGAAACCAGTAGTTTCTTCTTAATTCTCCTCTTATGTCCTATAATTTCAAGTTTATGAGTGCTGTTCCTTTCTTGTATGGTGCTTAGCTATTTATAAGTATTATTTCATCACTGTGAATCATATCGTTTAACATTATAAGATGCTTTTATTGGTCTTGCTTCATCATATTTTGGGCTCCAATTCCTACTTACCTAAAATTAAAAGCATAACCTCTGATTTCTTTTGCTGAACTTTCCTTCTTTTCTTTCTTTTATTTTCAATATTCTGATTTGTTTTTGTTTTTTTTTTTTTGTATCCTCTGTATGTAGTGTTAGGTTTTGTTTTATGATTTAATCTGAAAATATTTCCCTTTGTACTGGAGTGCTAACCCTATTTGTGTTTGTTGATGTGACTAAGGTATGTTGATTCTTAGGTGTTATTATCATTTAGAGCTAAAATGTACCCCCCAGTTCTCATGGGTGTTGAAGGTGATTGGATTGTGGGGTGCTGTGGCCGACTTGCTGTTAGGAGATAGGGCTTGGTTAGAGGTGGGGTCACCAGGGGCATAATTGGGAAGGGTATATTGTTGTCCTGACTCCTTATTTCACTCTCTGTGCTTCCTGGCAGGCAGCCATGAGTTTCCTCTGCTGTGCCCCCTGCCATCAGGTTTCTGCCTTGGAGCCAGCTCTCACCATGCATGGACTGAACTGTGAGTCAAAACAAACCTCTCCTTTAAGTTACGGGTGTTGGGTATTGTGTCCAGGGATGGGAAAGTACTAAGACAGTTGTGTTATATTGTTTTGTGCTAAATAGTTTTTGTGAACTTATTTTTTATGGGGTTGTGTGGCTTGAGACATGGTCTTGCTAAGTAGCCCAGAGTGGCCTCAACCTTACAGTGTTCCTGCCACGGTCTCCCAAGTACTGAAGTTACAGGCATGAGCCACCACAACTGACTTTATGATTAATTTTTAGAGTTTCTTTCTCTTTTTGCTGCTGAAGATTGAAAGTAGGGCTTTGTGTATACTAAGCACAAGCTCTACCCACCCACCCCTGAGTTTCTTTTTAATGCAATGTAATTATGGGATTACAGATCTGCTCCTTTGCCCTTGCTTTTTAGTTGTTGGGTTTTTGTTTTGTTGTAGTTTTTCTTGTTGTTTTGCAGTAATAAGGGTTAAATACAGGGTGTCCACAGTGAGCTATATCCTGAGACCTTTATATTTATCTAGTTATTATTTTTAGACAGAGTCTCACTGAGTGACTAAATTGTCCAGGCTAGGTTTGAATTTGCAATCCTCCTGCCTTGCCTCCTAGAGTGGGAGGCTACAGTGGGACTAGAGGTACAGAGTGGGACTACAGATGTGTACTACCTTGTCTGGCTTGTTGGTTTGTCTCACTGTATTGCCCAGGCTTGCCACAAACTCCTGAGTTTAAGTAAACCTCCTGCCTTAGCAGGCCAATTCCCAGTTCCTTTGTTTTGTTTTTTTATATGTAGTTCTTCTGATACTTAGAAAGATTAGTATATTTTTAGAAATGTTTGTAATGATAACTTTATTTATTTATTTATTTTGGTACTGGGGATTGAACTCGGTACCTCAGGACCTTGCATTTGGGAAGCAGCAATGAGCTAGATCCCCAGCCCTATAATGATAACTTCATTTAATACCTCTAACTGTCTACTTATTTAGAAAATATCTATTAATTCCTTATGATTAACAATGAGAAAATTATATTTTCTCTTCCTTCATTTTATTACAACCTTATTTTGTACAATAATGAATATGTATTAATTTTTGGTCCTTTAATATGTTTATAGTTTGTAACACTTAGTCTTGGTAGCCAACTTGATTGTCTTGAGATCTACCTAAGGGATTAACAAAGCACATCTCTATTTGTGTCTGGGTGGACCATGGAGGGATGACCTTGGTGAACTTATTCAGTCTCTGGTCTCTTCCTCTCCAATGCTCTTACCCTGTACTCTGCTTTCCATCTGGCATGAAGTGAGCAGCTTTGATCTACCACCTCTTTTCACCATGTTTCTGTCCTGGAGCCAGCCAACCATGGACAGAATCCTCTGAACCTGAGCCAAATTGAACCTCCTCCTCTTTAAGTTTTGTCCATGTAACAGGAAAGCTAGTACAGAAAATTATTACTGAGAATAAGGTCATTGTTGTGATTGCACCTGACAATGTGATTCAGAAACCTTTGGAAATAGTTTGTGGGGGGAGTTTAGGAAAGTTTGGAGAAGCAGGCCAGCGAATGCCTAAAACACTATAAGCAGAGCCTGATGGACAATTCTGGTTGGCTGTCAGAAGATCAGAATGCTGATAGAAATGAGGACAGTGAAGGCCAGGCTCAAAAGATTTTAGGACTCTTTTGGGAATTTGATTAGAGGCCCACAAATTTGTCTATATCTTTTTCATATTCTAAGACTTTGTGTGAGGTCACATTTAAAGATGGCTGACAAATTGATATGGTGGAGAAAATTTCAAGGTAGCCCAGTGTTCAGGCTGTGCCATGGGTAGTACTGGCTACTCTTAGCCAGATTTATAGTGACAGTCAGAAGCAAAAAGCAGGCCACAAAGATTTGAAAAACTTAATAAGTTTCCCCCAACAACCACATATAAAGTTGGAGCAAAAGGAAGTATGATTGCTAAAGGCATTAGCACCATAAAACAAACAAACAAACAACAATAACAACAACAGAAAACACCAAGCAAGTACTTTAAATTGGGACAAGAAAAATAGATGCTATGAGGGCATCTCAGTAATCAGCAAGATCCCATCCATTGCAGGCTTAGGATATAAATGTGTTAATATTTCATTTAGGAAGAGAGTCTTTGGGCTCCATGTAGGGCCACCTAAGGAATTGGTTCCCTGAGATTTAGTTCACCATTTTCAGCCATTAATACACTCAGAGGTCATCACAGCCATGGTCAGTGAGATCAGGATGCTCAAGTTGGCCATGGATCTTGGCATCATCTACACGATGCTGGTGTTTTAGGCACACAGAACACAAGATCATGGGATCATGCAGGCTTCTGTCCAGATTTTTTCTTCTCCTTGGGGGAAAGGGACAGTTTTATAACTTTGCTTGAAAATTAGTTCTCATCCACATTCACAGTCTGGAGATTTTTTAAATGTGGTAATAATGACATAGTTTATTTACCAAAGTATAAAGCTTGTTTGGTGAATCTTCATTGGCATTTTGTTTTCTGGACCAGTGTACATTGATACAATGTGGAACCTTGTTTATTTCTTTGGGCCAGACAGCTTTACTGAGCCTGATACCATGTGCACATCCAGAGTCTTCATCTCTTTCATGTCAAATTTCTGGATCAAAGTGCCCGAGGGATGCACTTCTTTAGGCCCACTCTGTGGATGTGTTTGTGAATGTTGATGGTATATTATTGGATCACCACAGTGTTGATGGCAGAATGGCTCTTCTTCTTCTCACCGCCTTTCTTTGCAGAAGCTATTCTACCTGTCCAGAGTTGGAAAGCTCAGATTTCAAAGGCAGGCCCACTTGGAAGGCTAGGCAGTGTGGGACAGGGTTGTGGGAGTCCCTGCCAGGAGCCCCTGAGAGGGTAATGTGTGAGATGGAAGCTGCATTGGAGACCTCACAAAGTTGGAGATGCCAGGAACATGGGGTTTCTGCTAAGGAATGCCAACAGGGTACAACTGGCAAGGGCACAGGGGCAGGGCTGCCTAAGACCTTTGGTGCTTACATTATGCCACCACATGCCGTGCATACTGGTTATGGAACTATAGGATTTAACATGTGCTCTGTAAACCTTTGGTCTTGCTTTGGTCAGATTTCTTTCTATCCCATTATTCTTCCATTTTGGAACAGGAATATTTAACCTGTGTTATGCTGTCTTGGGATTATATAACTTGCTTTATTAATTTTACGAGGCTTACAGTTAACAGTTTGCTTTGAATTTCAGAGGACCTGGACTTATGAATGATGCTAGAATTGTTGAGACTTGAGGAAGGAATTGTTTTTTTTTTTTGTACTTGGATCAAACTCAGGACCTTGTGCTTGCAAGGTAAGCAGTAGCACCAATGAGATAGATCCTCAACTCTGGGAATAGTATTTTTAAAAAGATGTATGATATCAAGTTAACAGGGGGAAGGATGTGACAGTTAATCTTTTTTTTTTTTTTTTTTACCTAGGACCTTGCACTTATGAGACAGGTGGTGGCACCACTAAGCTTAATCCCTGGCCTGTGACAGTTAATCTTGACAGTCAACTTGATTGGTTTCAGAGCCAATGAGAGGATTAGTAAATCATCATTCTGGGTGTGTCTGGGTGGGTTATGGAGCATGCCCTGGGGAACTATACCTTGTCCTTGGTCCTTTCTCTCTAGTGCTCTTAATCGATTCCCTGGTTCTTAGATGCCATGAAGTGGGCCGCTTTGCTCCTCCATCCCTTCCCCCAAGCTCTCTGCCATGGACTGAAATCTCTAAAACCTGAACCATGGGCCAGGGATTTAGCTCAATGGTGCCGCCTGCCTTGAAAGCACAAGGTCCCGAGTTCAATCCCTGATACAAAAAAAAAAAAAAAGAAAAAAAAAAAAAAAAAAAAAAAACAAGACAAAAAACCACGAGCCAAATAAACCTCTCCCCCTTTATGTTGCATGTGCTAGCATTTTGTTATAGCAATGGGAAAGCTGACCAATACATAGTTTTATTTATCAGCTTTCGTAACAGTCAGCATTTAGAAAAACAGAAGTCATACTAAAAACGTCAGAATGGTAAAAACGTCACTTTAATTCAGGGAATTGGTGATACGAGCTGTAAGGAGAACTAAGGAGCCAAACAGGACTTCGAAGGAATCTAGATTATTAACTATAGAATGCTGCTACTTTGTCTAGGTTGTGGTGTCTCTGCTTGGGGACCAGGTTACCCTTTTAAAAGTCTGCATGGTGGAAGCATGGGCTCTAGAGAGGTCACCCAAGGCTTCCCCTTTTCCACCTTCTGGTCTTCCTTTAGTTCCTTCTCCACATGGACCCAGGAAAGCACCAGGAGGCAAGAGCCTGAGGATCACAACTTGCAGGATCAGCCTTGTTGTGCTATTGATCATAGTAGCAAAAGGGAGAGACGTGTGTCTGAGAGCAAGCAGGCCAGGGAACAGCTTTCAGCGGTGCTTTTGGACTATCACAACTCCAGATGAAGTATTCGTAGAGCGACTCCCACCAAAAACTATAAAAATACATAAAATTCAAGGTCTAAGGCCAGGGACGTAGCTCAGTGACACCACACCTGCCTTGCAAGCACAAGGTCCTGAGTTGGATCCCTGGTACCAAAATAAAAAGGTCTACATGGGGAATACCATTAGATTTGGTGATTCAGTTGGTAATATCCTGCACCAGCGTGCACCGACACCCGATTCAGATTTCAAATGAAAGAGTAAAGAAATGGCTTTTTGGGGTATGTGTACGTGTAGTTCTGGGGATTTAACACAGCTTCACCGCGCTATGCGAGTATTCTACTACTGGGCCGCAGCCCCAGCCTGAAGAACTTTCTTTTCCTAAGGGACTCTGATTGTAATGCAGCCATGAATAGAAAGGAGGAGATAAGGCAGACAGATGATGATGACGATGATGTGACGATGACGATGATGATGAGACAGCGCCCCATCTGTGATTCAGGCTGTATA